TTTACACAACAATTAAACAGCACATGAACGGATGGTCCAGAATAAAAATACTTGTGCGGTAGGGCACCTTCGAAGCATCACCTTTCCTCTCGTTTGGACTGGGATAGCAATATTTCAAAAGGAATTTTTCAAGGCAGGTAAACCCTGCATTCAACCCTAGTGTTGAACATCTAAAGGCGACCCACATCGATTTGATTTCTCCACTCGAATTTTGGGCATAGTGATCTGTCGGCTGCAGCGCGTTGAGACCATCTGAAGGTGAAAAATGTAAAGCCCCCTCATTAAAGAAGTTGTTTCCAGTCGGAGACCCCATAAAAAGGCTGATTTTTATAAGGCTGATTTTGGCTCTGGGGGTTTTCAAGGAGCTGAAACCAGTATGACAATGAAAGGGAGGTTTTACTCACGAGTAAATGAAAGAGAAGAAAAGGAAAGAAGGAGAAAGTCAGCTTTATGTTATATTTCTGAAGGAACAAGGGTGGAAAGATAGATAGATAGATAGATAGAGAGAGAGAGAGAAATAGATAGATATAGATAGATAGATAAGTAGAGATGATAATAGATAGATAGATGATAGAGATAGATAGATAAAGATAGAAATGATAATAGATAGATAGAGATATAATAGATATAGAGATGATAATAGATAGATAGATAGAGATAGAGATGATACTAGATAGAGATAGAGATGATGATAGATAGATGATAGAGATAGAGAGAGATGATAATAGATAGATAGAGATGATGGATGGATAGATAGATAGATAGATAGATAGATAGATAGATAGATAGATAGATAGATAGATAGATAGAATTTCAAGAAAGGTCACCACCTTAAAAACCTGAACAATGAATACTTTCTAGGTATTGACAGTGAAATAATAGTCAGAGTAGAGAGAAAAGGGAGAAAAAGGGGGGGGAAGACTCGGGAGCTGGGCAGGCATAAGAGAATTGAAATAATAATAAGGTGGGCAAAAATACCCAGTCCATTCTAAACATCTGGATGAGTGGGTGTCCAACTATAATAATAATAATAATTGAAAAGGCAAAATACTGGATGGGGAAAGGCGATTCAGGGTGATTTCCTGCAGCCTTCAGCCCCAAATCGTTCCTTTTTTTCGAAAAAAAGAAAGAAGGAAGGAAGAAAGGAAGAAAGAAAACCAGCAGATTTTCATCCAATTCTTTTCATCCAATCCTCCCTATGCACAGCAACAACACACTTGCCAAACATGCACCCGAAGCAAAAGAGCCGGTTTTTAGGAGCCTCCGAAGTGCCCCTTCAAGGCGAGGCAAAAGCCCCGTGCCCTGAAGAAGTCAATCCACAACTCTGCAGGAATAATACCAGTTGTTGTGGTTGTCATTGTTATTGTAAAAAAACCCGCACAGAGAAATTTGAATGAAGTGGCAGTAACAAGAGAAGAGGCCTACTTAAAAATTAATCGTACTTAGGGGAAGGGTCTTTCAGCCGCTTCCTTTTTTAGGGATAGGGTATTTTATTTCCCCTCGCCCCCTGCTGCTTCTGCTGCTGCTCCACAGCTTTGTTAGAAATTGCCTTCTTTGGGAAGCCACGGCTTCATCCCACGGAAAACCCCCAAGAGGGTCCTTCCCCCCCTCATCCCCCCATGGGGATTTTTTGGTTCTGAAAGACCTGTGTTGCTTGAAGCCCCCCACTCTTCCGGGGAAGGTGGAGTAGGTAAGGCTAGGAAGGAAGGCAGAGGGGAAAGGAAGAAGAGAGGAAGGGAGGAGAGGACGAAGGAAGGAAGGAAAGAAGGAAGGAAGAGAAAAATATAGGAGATTCAAAGAGAGGAAGGGAAAGATTATGGCAGTGAATGAGAGAAAGAAGGATGGGAGGAGAAGGGAAAGGAAGGGAAGGAGGGAGGACGAAGACAGGGAAATTGTGGAAGATGGAAAGAGAGAAAGAGAAAGATGAGTGAATGAGAAGAATGATGGGAAGGAGGGAGGGAGGAAGGAAGGAAGGAAGGAAGGAAGGAAGATGAAATAAGTAGTTCTGTGATCATTACTGTCTTGTTGGAATTGTTTTCCTTGCTTGCTTGCTTCCTTCCTTCCTCCTTCCTTCCTTCCTTTTTTCCCTCCCTCCCTTTCTCTCTCTCTCTTTCCTTCTCTCCCTCCCTCCCTTCTTCTCTTTCCCCTTCTCATTTCCTTTTACTATCTTCCCATCCTTTTTTCTTCTCCTTCATTCCTGCCCCTCCTCTTTCCCTGCCTTTTCCTGTCCCTCTCTTCTTCTCTTCTGCCTTCTCTTCCTTCCTCTCTTTCCCTCTCCCTCACTGCCTCCCCCCCCCCCCGCCGCACTCTCTGCCCCCCTCCTGCCCCTCCCACTTCAGACTTCCTTTTGACTCAGCAGCTTGTAAGCGGAGGGGATGGTGCTTTCCCTCTGGGACTTTGCCCAGCTCCCATCTGAAGCCAAGGCCGGTTGCAAGCTGTCAGAGAACAACTGGGGGGGGGAGCAAGAGAGTTGTGGGGAGGGGGAGGAAGAGGGAGAGGGGAGGGACCAAAGCCAGACCCCCTGGTTAAAGTTTCTAATCTGACTTGAACTCTCCTCCCACACTTTCCACTCACGCAAACCTGGATAGGTGTATTTTTTGTACTTACTTTATTCCTGCTCAGAGCTAGCTTGGAGGGATGCTCTCCTGTTGTTGAGCTGCTCCCCTTTAGAGTTGTGTGCTTTGTGCAAGTGTAGCAAATGGGGTACGGTCCCCACCAGCTTACGCAGCTTGTGCAAATGCAGGTTGTGCAAATTTCAGTGGAATCCGGCAGTCCTGCGAACGATGCTGCTGCTGCGATGACTCCATCTCCATCTCCCAGGATCCTTCAGGGCCCCTTAAGAATCCTGGGAAATAGAGGCTGGGATCTTGCCCAATGCTTGGTTAGAGAAATCCATGCTAGATGGATTGTAATTAAAAGGATAATTCGGTCCAAGTCATTTACCCAGAATAACCTTGTCTTCTTCTTCTTCTTCTTCTTCTTCTTCTTCTTCTTCTTCTTCTTCTTCTTCTTCTTCTTCTTCTTCTTCTTCTTCTTCTTCTTCTTCTTCTTCTTCTTCTTCTTCTTCTTCTTCTTCTTCTTCTTCTTCTTCTTTTTAAAATGGAATATCGGCTTGCATTAGTCCTCTTCCCTCCTCTTTCTTTTTTCCTTTTATGCTTTCACCCTTTCCGCATTTATAAGCCTGAGATCTGGAACTACATTTTACAAATGAGAACTAGTTGTGCTAGTTAAGTGGCTCTAAAACCTTCTTGGGCCCAAGAGTGGGATAAATAATACTTTCAGTAGGATTAAAGAAACATTTGGGCAAGGCAGGAGCTGAGAGGTTTCTAAGTTTAGCTTTCTAAGTAGGAGCAGTTTGTCTTAAAGTTGGAAATAAGAGCAGTTGCTTTAAAATGTATGCTGTAAATAACGTTTGTATGTAAAACTTTGCATAAACCAAGGCAATTTGTTGTAAGATACTAAAACAAGGTCAGCTAAGAAATGAGACACCTCCCTTCCCCCTCCCTTTCCTTCCTTCCTTCCTTCCTTCCTTCCTTCCTTCCTTCCTTCCTTCCTTCCTTCCTTCCCTCCTTCCTTTTTCCTTTCTCTTCTTCCAATTTCCTTCTTTCCTTCTTCTTTCCTTCTTCTTTCCTTCCTTCCTTCTTCCAACTTCCTTCCCTTTTTTCTCTTCTTCCAACTTCCTTCTTTCCTTCTTTCTTTCCTTCCTTCTTCCGTTCCTTCCTTTTTCTTCCTTTCTCTTCTTCCAATTTCCTTCTTTCCTTCCTTCCTTCTTCCAACTTCCTTCCTTTTTCTTCCTTTCTCTTCTTCCTTCTGTCCTTCCTTCCTTCCTTATTCTAACTTCCTTCTTTCCTTCTTCCTTCCTTCCTTCCTTCCTTCCTTCCTTCCTTCCTTCCTTCCTTCCTTCCTTCCTTCCTTCCTTCTCTCCAAAAAATCTACCCAAAGATCACCCAACGAATTTGATACCTGAACCTCGCATTAGCTTAATCATATTCTGACCTTCTGATCTCTCCTGTTTCAAAGTTTCTGGATTTCAGTTCAAAAACATTGGAAAGTGTTTTATCCCAGTGCTGTGTCAAGGGGTCCTCGGGCTTTCAAGCGCCTTCTCCAACTTCCTGGAGATTGGGAAAGGCAGGATACTTGCACCTGTGGTATCCCCTACCTAGCCATTCAGACTTGCAAAGGGCCTTTTCTTCTGGTCCTCCTTCTCCAGAAGGATGAGAAAGATGCTCCTCAAATCTCCGGGTGCGTTTCTCCCCTGAGTTTCAGCAGTCCCCTGAGTTTGTTTTAATTTGTGCCATTGTTGGAGAATTTTACGCGGGCGAGTTGTAAAGGGGGGAAAGAGAAGTCAGAAGTCATCAGCACGAAGGAAGGAACCAAGAGAGAAGAAAAAGAGCAAGGCTGAGACTAAGTTTTGTTAGCCACATTTTTTTCTTCTCATCTCCAATCTCATCTCCAATCCATCCGGCAGGTCTTTCCCCAGGATTTCAGAATTGCCAGTGGGTGTCACTCTAAGATAAGAAGCATCTGTGCCAAAGAGGAGAAGGGAGGAAACCTATCTGGAAAAAATATAAGTCAACCTGATGACGATTCAGGAAAGGCTCTCTTACAACGGGTGAAAGAATCCAACAGTTGAAAGTTATCCCACCTTGAGGCTGCATTCATTCCACCTCCAAGCTGCTTTGGCACAGCGTGCTAAATTGTGATTTGGTGGTTAAGGGTGTGTAAGGCAAACTCGAGTTTACAGTTCAGGCCATTTGCAAGCCCCCTCCCCTCCAAAATGGGTTGATTTGCTAACCAGGTTTGTAAGGGTTCTCTTACAAAGAAGAATTGACGGTCTAACCCATCCATGGCTTAATGTTTGGACTGTCGACAGGAAGGGACAGGAGCCGATTAGAAAGTTTCCAATGGGATATAAACTATTGTCTAAAATTCAGATGAGAATTCCGAGAGAGAATTCAGATTAATTCATTCCAGAAGCATTGAAGACCAAAATAAACGCATTGGGTTAAAAATAAGTTTATTCATCGGACCATACCGTTCTCCAGTCCCAAAATAGAAACGTGCAATTAAGTCTTCTAGGTTTATTTTATTTATTTTGGTGATTCAGCCTTTCTTCTCCTCTCTCTTTCTTCTCTCTGGATATGTCTTAACAGGCTGCAGTATAAAGGCCTTGAGCTAGGGGTCCGATCCTCACAGGAACTTCTGAATGGAAGACCTCAAGCGCTTTCTTGTATGAAACATCGTCCGGGAAGGTGGAGAGGTGAGGATCAACCTAGAGAAGATGTATGTGTGTGTGTGTGTGAGAGAGAGAGAAATAGAAAGAAAAAAGAAAGAGAGAGAGAAAAAAGAAAGAAAGAGAGAGAGAAAGAGAGAGAGAGAGAGAGATCAAATTATTTCCTAGATCCAGAAAGATGTGAGGTGTTACCTTCACTAGAGACACAAATAATGAGCAATAGATTTAGAATTTATTATTTATATCCCACTGATATTGCTATATAAACAACTCAAGGTAGCGAATATACTTAATACTCCTTCTTCCATTTTTCTCTCATCCAAGAAGCTTCTTTCATTCTTCTCTCATCCAAGAAGCTTCTTCAGCTCTTCTCTCATCCAAGAAGCTTCTTTCATTCTTCTCTCATCCAAGAAGCTTCTTTCATTCTTCTCTCATCCAAGAAGCTTCTTTCATTCTTCTCTCATCCAAGAAGCTTCTTTCATTCTTCTCTCATCCAAGAAGCTTCTTGGATGAGAGAAGAATGAAAGAAGCTTCTTGGATGAGAGAAGAGCTGAAGAAGCTTCTTGGATGAGAGAAGAACGGAAGAAGCTTCTTGGATGAGAAGCGAAAGCTCTTCAAGGAAAAACAAAGTCCAGTGGCCTTTTGAAAAAACATCTTTGGGACAATCGTGACCCTGATGACTGAGAATCTCCACCGACATCTTCCATGCTTAGTGGAGGATTAGAAGAACACGGATTCCACCTTCCATACTTGACCGATCCTCACAGTGCTGTGAATGACTAGAAGGAGTTAAGGAGGCCTCTCTCCATCTCCCGTCTTCCAGTCCTCCTTTCTGCTCTTGAGATGCAGCCTCTCAGAGGACTTCCATCCTTTGGGAATGGTTGATTAAGTCTTCTCTGCCCGGGTCCACCTCAGACCCCACTTCCTGCTCTTCCCAAGGAGATTTCATGAACCATTCAGACCCCGAAAGGTAATTTCTTGATTGGCAGACCGAATCTCCAGCCGCAGAGATAATTGCGGACACGCAAGTATTAAGCCCTCAGATCTCATTAACGCAGATCAGTTGGCGTTTTCCGAATTGGACATCTAAATCCATAATTAGGCTCCTGTTTAAGTAGGCTTGTTTTATTGGGGGGGGGGGAAGAGGAGGACAAAGTGGGGGCAGCATCTCCCTTGGCTCCTGCTGAACCCGGCAGCCACAGTTTTGTTCTACATGAGTGCCCTTTGCAAATTGGGGTGTTTGAGAGCTGCTCCCCTCCTTTCGTTGAACCCTTTATCACAAGGGCCCTCGGCGCTCTCTGAGCTGGCTTGTTTTCCTGCAGACATTTCATGACCCAACTAGGTAACGTCATCAGTGCCAGGAGGGAGAGGGGTTTACAGAGAGGAAGGAGGAGGAGGAGGAGGAGAAGCAGCAGGAGGAGGAGCAGGAGGACTGTAGGGTCCTTGTGCTCTCTGGGCTTGATTGTTTTCTTGCAGACATTTCATTATCCAACTAGGTAACATCATCAGTGCTAGAAGGGAATGGGGTTTGTGAGAAGAGGAGGAGGAGGAAGAAGAAGAAGAAGAAGAAGAAGAAGAAGAAGAAGAAGAAGAAGAAGAAGAAGAAGAAGAAGAAGAAGAAGAAGAAGAAGAAGAAGAAGAAGAAGAAGAAGAGGAAGAGGAGGAGGAGGAGGAGGACTGTAAGGTCCTTGATACTGTCAGAGCTGGTTTGCCCTCCCATTTCAAAATGAATAAATGAATGTAGTTCAGTAAGAGGGTCAGCCTGACCTGTCAGGTTTACGGGTTAGATTTTGTCCGCTTTGGGGAATTTCCTGGCCGTGCTACCTGGGAGCGGAAACTCTCATTACTAAGCTGCAGAGGAACCATTGTAGAAAGTATTATTATTCCTATTATTTTCATCTCCTGCTTGTGAACTTCAGGAAAATGCCTGATGGACCACAAAATCCCGGTCCTTCTCTGGTTTGGATCATGGTTTGGTGGCTAGGAATTCTGGGAGCACCCTTGGAGGGCCGGGAAGACGCTTCGATCCCACAAAAACGTTTCCAGGGTTGTGATGTCGCCCACTTGAGCCTCTTGGCGAGTTTTTTTTTTTTTTTCCTAAGTGGGTGCCTGGTCCGGCGCATTTTGTACGTTTAAAGGCGGCTAAGCTAAGATTCCATGGCCGGGACGAAGCCCAGACGGCAACTCCTTGCTCGCAATCCGCCGGGCCTACAAGTTTCCGCTTTCCCTGCCGATTCACACACCTTTACACAGCAAACCGGCTTTCCCCGTGCAACCCATCACTCGTCTTCATTGTCAAAGGCTTGGCAGGAAAATAAGGAGAGATGCTAAATCTTTTATAAGGTCAACGTGCAAGCAGCTGTCAAACAAGAAAAGAACTTAGTGGAGAAGACAACCCTCCTGGAGAAGCTGGGGGGGGGGGAATAAAGAAAGAAAGAAAGAAAGAAAGAAAGAAAGAAAGAAAGAAAGAAAGAAAGAAAGAAAGAAAGAAAATATTGCTTATTAAGCCCACAGGCCTGGGCCTGGCCAAGGTGTCTCCGTTTTGTGTCAGTAATTTGTGGTGTCAGAGGATGGGGGGGGGGGGAAAGAGGAATCATCCAGTGCCGAAGGGGCCAAGCTGGTGTCGGGGGAGTCATTAACACACCAGGAACGGCCTCGGTGCCTAATTGGAACCGCTGGGCATTATCAGCGGAGAATTCGCCTCCGCTCCCTGACAGCTTACGGCTTTCATGCCCTAAAATAATAGTCCACTTGTCAATGTAAAGGACCATTAAAAACAAACCGTTTTGATTTAATTGGCGGGACGGGGGCTGCAGCGGGGGCGGGGGGGGAGGCGGCCAGGTGAGATACCTCATCAGCCTGCGATGTATGTGTGTTTTTCCCCCCTTAATTTTCCATTCCCCCCCCCCAGTGATGGTTGTCTTTCCCTCACTCCTTTTTCTTTGCATTCCCTTCTTCCCTCTCTCTTGGACCTGGCTTCCAATCCTCTTCCTTTCATAAACTGCCTGTGAGTTAAAACATCATCTCTACCAGGTTGCTTCCGATAGGAATGTCAACCGAGAACGTGACAGATGAGCAGGTCGCTTGGAGAGCGGGCTTTATAAACCTCAAACATGGGCCTTGTGCTGGGGGAAAAAATCAAGCGAGTGATCAAGCAACCAAGCCGGGACTATCGTGGTTGGCTTCCCACAACCCAGAAACCCAGAAGTAAACAGGGGAACTGGGTTTCCTATGGCTTTGCAAATCCATGTGAAAAGGACCAGGGGTGATATGATAGCTGTCTTCCAGTATATGAGGGGCTGCCACAGAGAAGAGGGGGGGGTCAACTTATTTTCCAAAGCACCAGAAGGCAAGACAAAAAACAACGGATGGAAACTAATCAAGGAGAGAAGCAACCTGGAATTAAGGAGAAACTTCTTGACAGTGAGGACAATTGACCAGTGGAACTGCTGGCCTCCAGAAGTTATGGGTGTTCCATCACTGGAGGTTTTTAAGAAGAGACTGGACAGCCATTTGTCCAGGATGGTCTAGGGTCTCCTGCTTGAGCAGGGGATTGGAGTAGATGACCTCCAGGGTCCCTTCCAACTCTGTTATTCTGTAAAAGATTCCGTTTTTTAAATCCAGAGGGAGCCATTAAGGAATAATCTACTGTATCAAATTTTGAAGGATAGTTCTGGGCTTCGCAACTGGAGACTCCCTTGGGGAGAGTATCGACAAACATGAGCTCACCGCCTGATTTTTTTTTTCCGTTAAAAGAAGAAGAAGAAAAAACAGAAGACAAACACCTCCAATTTAACCAAACCGAAGACTTCTAAATTTGAGAAAATATTTTGCACTTCCCTCTGCTTCTTAGAGCGAGCGCTCCACTCCATAACTTTTGAATTCAGCCTCTGAGAAAAAAATGTCCTGGTTGTTAGTGCGACACTCGAACAGTTGACATTTTTGTTGAAATGATCCGGCATCCACATTTTCCTTAGACAAGGAGCTGTCACAAGTTTGCTTGCTCCTTTTTAAATAATAATAATAATTTATTAAACTGATAGGCCCCTGGTTTCCGACCAGCGAACTCAACAGGAGAAGTCAGATTCACTTAAGGACCTCACGATTCACTGAACGACTGCAGCAATTGGCTAATCCACCCTGGCCGAAAAAGTCAAAGGTTAAGCGGGCACGACGTGCTTAAAATGGCTGTCTTGCTTAGCAACAGAATTTCTGTTCCGAGCTGTGGCCGTTAAGTCGAGGCGTGCCGATACAGATAGCCCTTGACTTACAGCAGTTCATTTAGTGACCGTAATGGCACTGAAAACAGTGACTTATGACCGTTTTTCACACTTACAACCGTTGAGGCACCCCCCCCCCGTGGTCACATGATCAGAATTCAAAAGCTTGGCAACTGACTCACATTTATGACGGTCGCGGCGTCCCAGGGTCATGTGATCCCCATTTTGCGACCTTCTGACAAGCCAGGTCAGTGAGAAAGCCAGATTCACTTAACAACCGGGTTACTAATTTAACAACGGCGGTGATCCGCGTAACGAATGGAGCAAAACGGGACAAAACTCGATTAGCAAATTTCTCAGAAAGTTTGGGCTCAAGGGTGTGGCGTAAGTCAAGGACTCCCTGCATTGGCCAGGTCCACAATCTTCTCTGACTAACGCGGTGTGTGTGTGTGTGTGTGTGTGTGTGTGTGTGTGTGTGTATCTGTTCGAGGGAATCCGGTTGTCAAGAAACGGATTCGCACCCTTGCCAACCGCAGAAGTCAGCCAAAGCATTCGGACGACAAACGCTGGAATTGCCCAAGGATTTCGGCCGTTTAAATCCGAATTTACTCAGGGGATGGCTACTGGGTGGCCATCCTCTGCCTTCCCGTTCAGAAGAAGCCCTTCTGAGGGCCAGACCCACCTTTTGGAAATAGGGGATACGCCAAAGTTCCTCCTTTTTCATTGGCGGCTGGTACTTCCTCAGCAAACACGTCCGGGTCTCGTAGAATTTCCCCCGACGCTTCTAAAACAAATCAAATGAGCACGCCAGACTTAGGTCACCAAGAGGAACATGTGAAACATATAAATACACTGGTGCTGTATTTGTTTGGGGGAGACCAACCTCAACTGAAGAAATAAAGTGGGCTGCTCGCTCATGGGCCACACTGTCGCCAGCCTGGCGAGGTGGGACAGGCAGGAAACACATATGGAGAAGGGGCCCTTGTTTGCTTTCTGGAAGATGTTTTATGACCCAGCTAAGTAACGTCATCTGTGCTAGCGGCACATATGGATGAACTCTTTGAGGAACTTTATCGTAAAGGTGCATTAACAGAACCTTGCAGAAATGCCATCTCGTCTCTCCCACCACCTTTACAGCTCACAAAACTAGGGAGGATCCCTACGGCAACATTGGTCACATCCCCAGTTCTTCTACAGGCTCAACTTCCCCTTATGTGATCGTTGTCTAGTCTGTGGCTCTTCCACCTGCCTCACATGGTTATTCCCTGTCAGCCTTACCAGACAGATGAAATAGGAAGTACAATCGGAAGCACTAACTCTTAACTTTATTGCAAAGCTAACGGAATCTTGCCAGTCTGAAAGTCCATCTTTCCACCCTTTAATAATGAAACTAGAGAGGATCCCTTCTGAGTTGTTGGCCATGCCCTGGTTCCTTTTGTGGTTCCTGAGTTGCCTCTTATCCATCTGCTCTCCTGACTGTGATTCCTTCTTCAGTCTCCAAGGTCATTCCCACATACCATTTCGGTGAAATGACTTGGCTATCCCTGAATGGTTGGAAGTATTGGAAGCTTCTTGAAAAGACCTTGATTGCTGGTGGCTATTAACTTATCACATGTTCTACAGACATGGTTGGGAAGAATATGGAAAATTGTTGAAGCATGGTCAAGAGAGCAGCAGTTTTGGAGACTTAATTGGGGACCCAAAAGTTTGGTTCCCATGCTGAATATTTGGAAACTAAGAAATCTTATCTCCCAATCATGCCAGTTGCCTTTATGTTTGTTTGATGGCTTCTCATGCAGATGAGATACTTCTTGAGGAAGATATCTGATTGTTTCTATTTATGCCACACAATTAGCATGCCACACATGCTGGGATCATCATAACACATTTGATAACCAGGTCATTTGAAGACTTAACTTTTACTTTCAAAGGACATCAAACAAGTTGTAAGTAATAAATGAAGAAGAATAAAAGAAATAAACACCATTAACTCCAAAAGACAAATGACAAAAAAACCCAAGACATGTTTGCTGATTTTCTTCAGAAAGCAGTTCCATCAAAGAAGAGATCAAACTATTTAGACCAGAGCGTCTTAACCTTGACAACTTTTAAGATGTATGGACTTCAACTTCCAGAATTCCTCAGGCGCCATGGTGGGAGGTGAAGTCCATGTGTGCTGGCTGGGAGTTGAAGTCCACGCATCTTAGGGTTCCTAAGATTGAGAAACAATGAAGTAGGGTTGTTTCCCTACATCACGTTAAACCAGATTATGGGTTCTAAGTCCAAGAACTTGTCTACAAGAGAAAGGTCTTGAGAAGAGGGTCAGCAAACCAAAAGTCCTTCTCAAAGTCATCCAACCTTTTGTTTCTTCTCAGCTTTTTCAGCTTTGATGACCGCCCTCTGCTCATCCATCCAAATCTCTCTATATTTGTGCTGCAGCAGATCAAAGAAAGGCGTTGAGGGTCTGGGGAGATGTTAGAAGGAAAGGGAGAAGAAAGAATCAGTGACAATGACAAGAACGTCAATGACCTCCTCATAACCACAGATCACACTAAACCACGATACAGTGAGTTTGATCTTGGAAGCCCAACATCTGAATTCCCTACCTGCCTCTTAATCAGAAAGTTTTCTTGGCCACATCCATGGACTTCACATTATGGAACTTTGACTCCATCGGCCAAGTTATTATGGCCCCTTCTTTCTGCTCCTTGCCTTTTTTAGGTCTTAATTTTATTTGATACACAGCCATGTCTACTGTTATCTCAGTAGCTTGCTAGGAAGGGGCAGTTGATATGGATTCATCCGTTTGTCCATTCATTTACGTATTTAGTTGAGGAAAAAGGGAACACATTCTTCCTGATTTTTGACCCCCGTAAACCAATCTTCTTCTCCTCCTACAACATTCTTAACAATGCCAATTGCATGGTTGCTGAGCTTCAGAAGAGGGTTGTTGATTTCCCAGTCCCATGGCAAAGTGTGAACCATCCCATGCGATCTCAGAGATCGTGGGCACCAACCTTCCCCATTTGGACCTAGTTGTGTTCCTTAAATTGAAGAAATGTACAAGAATCCTACACATACTGACAATTGGCTCTCTGCACCTGTTCTCCATCGACCAAAGTAGCCATAAGTTTCATCAAAGATTGTAATAGACGCCCTTTGACCCCCGCTGAGTGCTTCTAAGAGAAGCCCACCATCATTATTTTCCTTCAGGAGAAGCTAACCACCACCCCTTGCTTCTAGGAGAAGACTGGACCACATCAGAAGCAGAACTTCTATGCCGAATTCCACAGAAAAAACTGCCTTTAAAAACAAGCCAGCGTTTTCCTGTTGACCAAGTCTCTGCTGTTGCTCAGTTTATCCCTTACCTAACGAAGTGTTCTGATGACCTCAAAAGCTTGCTCGCTCTTCGGTAGACCAATACCTGGCCTCATAAAGGAAGCACTTGAACACAAACTCTGCAATTCTTCCTCCTCTTTGGCCTTACAACCCCAAAATGTCAAGGGCTCTAGTCGGTATTTTATTTTTTGGTCTTTCTGCATGCATGTCAATAGCTGCCCTTCTTATTTTGCTCCTGGCATGACTTTTATCGCTAATTATGTCTTCCCACATGCTTCGGAAGAGGCTTAATCTCTGCTCATGTTGGCTAATGATGTTACGCGCTTGATCAAGTGCTGTCCATCCCAAGGGGCCGCTCTTAGAGAAAGAAACGGCTTCCCCCTCCCCACAAGTTGGGGGCAGGGTGCCACGGATCACACCAAGGCTGAGGCGTGCAGAATAGTTTTGGAGCCTGGCCACAATTCTGGTCCATCCCTCATCACCCAATTCTGCTGATTTAGCCCATCACAAAGAACTGAGGGGCTGCCAGAAAGAAGAGGGGAGGGGTCAACTTATTTTGAAAGTAAATCACCAGAAGGCAAGGCAAGAAGCCACGGATGGGAACCAACCAAAGAGAGAAGCAGCCTAGAATCAAGGAGGAATTTCTTGACAGTGAGGACAATCGTGGTGACTTCTGTATGTTTGGTTCCATGTGTTCCTCACCCAATCTGCCTTCTCTGGATGACTGCTGGTCTGGGGACTGTGGCAAAGAGACAACCATTTAGATTCTGTTCTGGGTTGTGTTCCAGATTCTAGCCAAATTTCCTCCATTTGTAGATTCTGGTCCTTCATCCAACCTTGGTTTATATCTTGGGGTTATAGTTCAGACCTTCTGCATGTCTGTCTAGCTTCCTCCCATCTATCCATTCATCCTCTATCTGTCCATCTTTCTCTCTCTCTCCTTCCCTTCCTCCCTCCATCTTATCTATCTGTCATTATCCATCCATCTATCTATCCGTCTGTCTGTCTATCTGTCTGTCATTATCCATTCTTTCTTCTCTCCATACGTCCATCCATCCATGCATCCATCCTACTTATTTATCATTTACCTGCCTGTCTATATCTATCCATCTTTCTCTCTCTCCTTCCTTCCCTCCCTCCATCTTATCTATCTAGCTGTCATCATCCATCCATCCATCTTCTATCTATCTATCTATCTATCTATCTATCTATCTATCTATCTATCTATCTATCTAGATTACTTTTTCTCCCCACCCATCCCTTCATCCATCCATCCATTCTAGTTATTTATTGTTTAGCTGTCTGTTTCTGTCCATCTTTCTCACCCTCCCTCCCTTTCCTCCATTCCTCCATCTATCTATCTATCTATCTATCTATCTATCTATCTATCTATCTATCTATCTATCTATCTATCTATCCTTCCATCTGTTCTATCTTGTTTGGAAGACACTCAGAAGAGAATTCCCCACTGAATCCCTTCTCATTAGACCCTCTAAAATATATTTATGCAGGCTTTCAAAACTACTCCCTTTCACCAGGCACCTATTCCTCCCCTCCTTTTGTATTTTTAATAAACTCCTCTGCTAAATAATTTTCAAGAGCTAGGAAGTCCTTAGGTGAGGAACTTAAAACCCTCTTCCACCTGGCTGTAGCAGCAAAGACGTCGGGAGTGAGCTTTCTGGAAACCTACCTGCTTTTTTTTTTTTTGCTTTTTTTTTAATGAGATCCCTTTCTCTGCCAAATAATTTTTTTTTAAGAAAAAAAAGGCCATAATAAACTATTAACGGTATTTTAAAATCAAAATTGCAGGAGTTTGAAATGAATGACAAACTCTTCCATTTTTTTTAAATAGATGGGAAGACTCTCTCTTCCCTCCCCTCCCCTCTTCTCTCTAAAAATGGAATCCGAGATGAAAAGAAACAATCGTTATAATTTGCAAATAGGAGGCTGACACTTTTTGGGGATGTACACGTGTTCCATCCTGACAGGTCTGATTTGCTTTTGGGGCAGAACCGTTCTCTATGGGGATTAGAACAGAGTTTTCCCACTGACGGGTCCGTCACAGCCTCGCAGCTCATTAAAACTTTTTTTTCAATTTTAATTTTTTGTTTTCTGGAACGGAGAGTGAAATTTCCCAAGGAACATCAGAATCTTCTAAGGGGGTTTCAGAAGACGGGGGGGTTGAAAAGGGTTTCAAGGGGAAAGCCTTGGGTGTGACAAACCACATTTTAGTTACACCTCCCTGTGCCCAAGCGGGCAAAATAATTGGTCATCAGTGGGTGCTAATTTGAAAGAATAGCCAGAGGCTGTTATTTCTTTTCCTCTTTTCTTTCTTTTTTCTTAAAATTCCTGGGAAATCGGTGACGGCAGAGAAAGTACTCATCTCCAGAGGATGGGTGTTGATGCTACCAGCTTCAGAAGAAACAGCGGTTTTGTTAAAATTAAAACCTCGGTAGGAGAAGAGAACGTCGGAGGAGCGAGGTGAGCTGGGAACAAACGTAGCATCACAGCACTTGGGAGCAAGGAGGTGTCAGCTTCCTCTGAAAACTTTCACGATGGCAAAACTTACAAAACGCATCTTTTCAGACCTGACAGTCGAGGCCTGAGTTGATGGCATAGGCTGGCTGTTCCTGGCCCAGCACAGAGATAACCCAGAGCAGATGAATCCCAAGAAAGAAGAATTGAGAGGTGACAATGATAGGAAACTAAGCGTGGCCTGAACAAACTTTATTTATGTTGGGAAATTGCCAGTCGAGGCTGGAAGGAGGGGTCAAGCAGGGAACTAGCTCTGAGTCTTCGCATGGCTGCAAAGGCATAAATGTGACTCCCCCGAAGATCCATTAAACATTATTTGGGTGTTCTCAGGAGAAGCTAAAACTAATATGCTGAAGTGGAGGCTCTTAACAGATAGCGACATGCTGTGTGAATATGGAGAGATGCAAAGTCCGGCTCATCTGCTGATATGTCGGCTACTACCAGCAACGTGTACTGACAATGACTTATTTTGGGCCAATGACAAAACCAGGAAGGTGGCTTCATTTTGGCAGTCTAAAGTTTGATGGAGGAGGAGGAGGAGGAAGAAGAAGAAGAGGAGGAGGAGGAGGAGGAGGAGAAGGAGAAGAAGGCAAGCAGTCCTCACCTTATGACTACCTGCATTCATGAGTGTCCTAAACAAATGTATATGGCTGTCAACTCACAAATGGGGACTCTGGGCAGCTTACGAACAGACAGACCCCTGGCACTGTGAGCAGATTCAGGGAGGATTTTTTTTAATAAGCTTCCAAAATTTGTGACATCTCTCTTGGTGTTCTCCTTTTTTGGGGGGGTATCCATTCTGCAAATCCTAAATCAAGCGTGATGCACAAATTAGTGGTGACAGTGGTTGTGCCCTGAAAGAAATAATTCTTTGTTGAATTGACCACCCTTATATCTGGGGGGAACTTGACACCAATCCTATTTTCCAGCTGGTTGGAACTGCAGGAGACGTCTAGGCAGGAACCATCTGGAGCAAAAGACCATCAGGAATGGATCTCTTCCATCTGACTTCCTCCTCCTCCTCCTCCTCCTCCTCTTCTTTTTCTTTTTTTTTCTTCTCTTTTCCTTTCCCTCCCTTCTCTTCTAAATGTCTGGAGACTAAATTGTATGATGAACAGTTGAGGTATGTCTGGTCTACCGAAGAGAAAGATTAGGGGGGAGATGACAAGTGTCTTCTAATACTTGAGGGGCTGTGGCAGAAAAGAGGGGATTGATTTATTCTCCAAAGCTCCAGAGGGCAAGACAAGAAGCAACGGGTGAAAAAGCATGTTAAAGAGAAATCCAGCCTAGAATGAAGGAGACCTGTCCTGACAAGGAGAACAATTGATCAGTGGAATGGCTTTCTTCTGGAAGTTCTCTGCGTCCTGGTGACCAGAACTGGACACAGTATTCCAGGTCTGGTCTTACCAGCCCTTCTTCCAAAGGAAACAGACGTGCTTCCCATTGTGTGTGTGGCAGAGACAAGCCACTTCAACCATCTCAAAAGCTGATGAATGGAAGCCATGCGCTCAACATAGAAGTCCCCATTCCCACAGAGGAACACACCTGGCAGCCTGTTTGCAAACAAGGCCAGCCGGGAGAAAGAACCTCGTGTTGCAAAAACCTGGTTTTGCACCAGGCGACCCTTGTAAAGATCAGAAACCGGTGCGCAGAGCTGCGCCACCTGACTGAAGGGAACCCCTTGGGGGTCTGCGGGAAACTTACCTCTTCCTCGTTAGTGCTGACCTTGGTAGGAGCCGTTGGCGGCTGATGAATAGGCTACGATCCCCTGATCAGACTCCGGGGAACAGCCATATTATCTGCTATTGTCCCATCTGTGTCTCCCTCCCCCCCACTTTCATCCCTGGCTATAAATCTCTGTCCAAAACTTAAGAGCAAAAGAAGGAGGGAGGGGGAAGGATGTGAAAAATGTCCTTTTTATGGGAGCTCATGACAAAAGCCAGCCGGGAAGGAAATCAGAAGGGAAGCAAAAGGGATTGCAGGTTGGGGTGAGAGGCAAACACCGAGGAAGGGGTGACATGAGTAGAAATCAGAGCCAGCCAGGAAGGCTCCATTTTAGAATAACCTGGTTGTTTCAAAGTAAACAGCAAAGAGGAAGATAACTTGGTAAAAAAAAGCGATGGAGAAGTTAGAAAAACAAGAGTAACAAAATCGGAAGGGACCGTGGAGGTCTTGTAGTCCAACCCCCTGCTCAAGCAGGAGACCCTATAACATTCCAGACCAATGGCTGTCCAATCTCTTCTTAAAAACCTCCAGTGATGGGGCACCCACAACTTCTGGTGGCAAGCAGTTCCACTGGTTAATTGTTCTCCCTGTCAGGAAATTTCTCCTTAGTTCCAGGTTGCTTCTCCCCTTGATTAGGTTCCATCTGTTGCTTCTTGTCCTGCCTTCTGGTGCTTTGGACAATAAATTGTCTTCTAAATCTTCTTTGTGACAGCCCCTTAGATATTGGAAGACTGCTATCATGTCACTCCTAGTCCTTCTTTTCATTAAACTGGACATTCCCAATTCCTGCAACCCATGCTCCAATCAATCCATCTCAACCAACCAACCAACCAACCAACCAATCAATCAGAATAGAGCTGGAAGGGACTTTGGAGGTCTTCTAGTCCAACTCCCTGCTCAGGCAGGAGACCCTATAACATTCCAGACAAATGGCTGTTCAGTCTCTTCTTTACAACCTCAAGTGATGGAGCACCCACAACTTCTGGAGGCAAGCAGTTCCACTGGTCAATTGTTCTCCCTGTCAGGAAATTTCTTCTTAGTTCCAGGTGGATTCTCTCCTTGATCAATTTCCATTCATTGCTTCTTGTTGTCCCCTTCTTCTTTGTGTCAGCCCCTCAAACACTGGAAGGCTGCTATCATATCTCTCCTAGTCCTTCTTTAGACTAGACCAGGGATAGGCAACCTTGGCTCTTTTATGACTCGTGGACTTCAACTCCCAGAATTCCTGAGCCAGCCATGCTTGAAGTCCCCGAGTCATAAAAGAGCTAAGGTTGCCTACCCCTGGACTAGACATCCCCAATTCCAGCAACCGTCCTTTATATGTCGTAGCTTCCAGCCCCCTGATCATCTTTACTGCTCTTCTCTGCACTCTTTCTAGAATCTCAACATCTTTTAGCTGAGATTTTTAGCAGCGCTCGGGCTATAAGCTCCTAAATTTACTAACCCAGAATAAGGGGTTAAACCCTCTTTTCTCCCTCCTCCTTCCCATTCTCTTTTTAAACCCAAAGTGGCTGTAATAATCCAACAATTAGCTTTGATCTACACCCTGTTTTTAAAGTGCGGGAATAAATACCCCAGGCCAGCCCACTTAAAAGGCAGCGATTAAAGAAGATCAGAGACGGACTCTAATAACTGGAAATGAACAGCTCACCCTTTTGCCATTTTTTTTCTGGGTTGGGATGGATGTCCCATGTGTTATTTATTAATATGAAAACAAGACTGTTGGGTGGGGGGCGTACGAGGCCGTTGAAGGATTTTTTTTTCCTGGGCAGTCACTTAACCTCCGTTTATGAAGAAATAAGGAAAATTTGGAGCCGGTTCTGCGGGGCCTGTTGTGCGGGAAATCAATGGCTGTCACGGCTTAAAAGCTCTTTGTTTGCCCTCGAACTGACAATCCTTGTCATAGCCATGATGGCTTAGTTGTAATCAAGATAAAGCTTTATGGCCAAGGCTTTGGAGCCGCCCCAACCTTGCATTTTCATATGGCTGCAATTAATGTTAATGCGGGCGATGAAAATGGTCATTAAAGACCATTTTAAAATCCATCGCATTTGCATATGCAAATCGGTGCCATTTGCTGGCGGGTGGCCTCTTTAATCACCCCCTCCGCCCGCAAATAATCCTTTCCCTCTCGCTTTTTTTTTTGTCCTTTTATTTAAAACAAGGAAAATAAAATCTTTAGTGCCAATTAGCTTTTTAAAATGAAATCGATCACCAAGCACGCTCACCAGGAGCAAAGGCCCCGGAGGAGCCGGAAATTTTAAATAATTATTTGAAACCTTCTGGTAGCTAAACGAGACGGTTGTCAAGTGGCTTTCGCCCCATTTTACGACCTTCCTTTCTCGCCACTGCGGCTAAGCAAATCGCTGCTAAATTAAGTTGCAGCCCGGGTCGTTGAGTGAAAGTGACTTGCCCTGTTGACTTGGCTGGTGAGAAGGACGCAAGAGGGGATCCACATAACCGCCGGGACACTGTGACCGTCACAAAGATAAACAAACCCAGTTTTGATCTGCGATGGTCATAAGTGCGATTGTAAATCACTTCCTGACGTTCTGCCTCCTAGCATTTTCATGCTTCTATCTAGGAAGCCTTAGACACCACACCAAATGCAACGAACACCCACACACCCCGGATGTTCCCTGTACCTCCAACGATTGGAATGCTTCGTAAATGAAAAGGAATGCCAAGAAATGATTGGATTCAGGCCTCCACCCCAACTCCTTTGATGGGAAGCCCTCTGCCTCTCACCTTGCTGGCCTTCCATAGGTCATGTCTGGAGGGACTTTGGGAGGAGTCCTCTTGAAGCGGCGTTCGTCCTCCACGTTGACATGGAAGTCCTTCATCTTGCGGTACAAGTTCTGCTCGTGGACTGTGACGTAGCCGTCCTTGACCGCGTGAAGGTTGGTGGCCAAGTAATCGCGGGGTTTCTCCTTCTCCAAAATAATTCTGGGCTTCATGACGTGCCAGTGGCAAATGGCTGGGAAAAGAGGAGAAGTTGAGGAGACATTCAAAGGAGGCACCTCAGAAAGCAAGGAAAGAAGAATTGCAGAAGAACAGAGTTGGAGATCTTCTCGTCTAGTCTAACTCCCTGCTCAGGCAGGAGACCAAATGGTTGTTCAGCCTCTTCTTAAAAAACTGGAGAACCCACAACTTCTAGAGGCAAGCTGTTCCACTGATTAGTTGTTCTCAGTGTTAGGAAATGCCTCCTTAGTTCTAGGTTGCTTCTCTCCTTGATTAGTTTCCATCCGTTGCTTCTTGTCCTGTCCTCTAGTGCAGGGGTCCCCAATCCCTGGTCTGTGGACCGGTCCTTGTCTGCGGCATGCCGGCAACCGGTCCACACAAACAAGCAAAGCTCCATCCGCGGGATGCAGGCAGCACACAAAACCACGCACCCTCTGGTCCGTGGAAAAACCTCTCTCCACGGAACCGGTCCCTGGTGCCCAAAAGGTTGGGACCTCTGCTCTAGTGCTTTGCAGAATAGGTTGACTCTCTCTTCTCTGTGACAGCTCCTCAAATATTGGAAGACTGCTATCATCTTCCCCCTAGTCCTTCTCTTCGTTGGACCTAGTTCCCCTAAACATTCATTGTAGGTTTTAGCCTCCAATCCCCTAAGCAACTTTGTGGCTCTTCTTCGCCCTCATTCTAGAGTGTCAACCTCTTTTTTGAAATCAAGAGGTAGCAGCTTTCTTGAGTCGAAGCTGGGTGAAAAACACAACCCAACATTTCTCCCGTTCTCGGTGGTGTGAAGGGACCTCTTTTGCATGCCCAGATGTGATCCACACGATCGGTTAGCTTACCTTCAGGGACCCCTCCATCCATTCCGTGTAAATACAATCCATAGTTAAAATCATAACCCGGAAGGGTGTAGTTACTTCTGCGGGGTCTTCCCAGTTCTGGCTGCAAATACAAATTCATTGGCGAGTTATCCATCAATGTATATTTTTTGCAAGCCCCAATCTCTAGGATTGTACAGGTAGTCTTCAGCTTACGATCACAACTGGGATCAGAAATTCCATCGCTAAGCAAAGCTATCATTAAGTGAGACAGCCCAAATTTTCAACCTTTTTTTTGGCTAGGCTGGTGAAGCAAATTGGTTAGCTAAGTGATTGGCGTGTTTGGAGAAAAGCGTTTTAATCAACAATAGAATAGAATAGAATGGAATGGAATGGAATGGAATGGAATGGAATGGAATGGAATAGAATAGAATAGAATAGAATAGAATAGAATAGAATAGAATAGAATAGAATAGAATAGAATAGAATAGAAGCTGGAAGGGACCTTGGAGGTCTTCTAGTCCAGCCCCCTGCTCAAGCAGGAGACTACTGGCAACCCAGCAGAAAGAACCCACCCAGAAGTGTCGAAATGAAACAAAGTAGTTGTGGCTGGACAAATTTCCCGTGCTTCTTTGAGCAGCCTTTCACAACGGGGCCAAGTCAGGAAAAGATCAACGGTGAAGCAGAAAAAAAGTTGGCCCGGCCAAGACAAATATGTCAGAGTTGAACGAAAGACTTTAATGAAGCTTGAAGAGACACAACAAGCTCGTAACCTACGGACCAATTTTATTTAGTTTTCAAATTAACTCCCTTTCTTTCCCCCAGGTGTCCCCCCCACCCACCCCGGCTTTGCAGTGTCTGTGGGATTCATTGACCCCTGATTGTCCTTTTTGTCTTGATCGAGGTCTCCATGGTGAAGCCAGGCAGAGATTAGCTGGCTTTGCAAGTTTCGGACTTTTCAACCGAAATTGAAGAGAAGAAGTGAGGTTGGGACGGCTGCCGACAGAGTGGGTGGGAACCCAAGAGGCTATTTTTTTCTTTCTAAGCTCGTATTTTGACAATGGAAAATCGGTTTTGTTTCTTTTCTCCCCCCCCCTCCATTGGTTGAAGGAGGTTGCAAATCCCGCCGGTAAAATGCTTAAAATGTCTTTCCAAGTTTTGTTCCGGCAATTTTCAAGACAAGCCCACCCACAGGTTGTTAAGGAACAGACTCACAAAACTCTGTGTCAGATAAGGACTAAAATCTCTGGAAAGAGAGAGAGAGAGAGAGAGAGAGAGAGAGAGAGAGAGAGAGAGAGAGAGAGAAGAAGAAGAAGAAGAAGAAGAAGAAGAAGAAGAAGAAGAAGAAGAAGAAGAAGAAGAAGAAGAAGAAGAAGAAGAAGAAGAAGAAAGAAAGAAAGAAAGAAAGAAAGAAAGAAAGAAAGGAAGAGGAAGGAAGGGAGAGAGAGAGAAAGAGAGAAAGAAAGAAAGAAAGAAAGAAAGAAAGAAAGAAAGAAAGAAAGAAAGAAAGAAAGAGAAACAGAAGAAAAAAAAAACAGAAAAGAGGGACTGGCCTAATATGATGGGATCAAATCCTTTTTAAAAAAAAAAACCAGAAAAAAATCAAAGTTTAAAGAGATATGGACCATTGTCAGCATGTTAGGTGAAGCTGTGAGTCCCGGCGGTCCTCGACTTACGACGTCTCTGTTGCTATTCAAAGTGGTCATTAAGGGAAACAACCTGGTTTCTTAGTCTGGACTTTCGGTCCCTGTCTTAAAAATCATTTTTAAAGTCTTTGAAAAGACTGGGCAGCCATTTGTCTGAAATGTGTCGCCATTCTCCCTGCTGGAGCAGAGGGTCAGACTAGATGACCGCCCAGGTTCTTTTCAACTCTTGTTACTCGATGTCTGTCTGTCTGTTTAAGTCAAGTTGGAGGTTTTTGTTTTTGTTTTTTCTTCCTAGCCCCCTAGGGGAAAATAACCACCACCACCAAATCCTGATCAAATTACACCCTCCTCTGTTTTTCGTTTTTAATTTAGCCCTAAAAGCAGATGGCCTCCCACCCAGCCTTGATTCCATGTAGGATTTTCGCTTCCCTGGGTAGAACCAGCGTTTTTCCTGCTCTCCATGGCTCTCCTCAAGAGCGGATAACTTCATTAAAAGTCATTAAACCTCATTAAGATGTTATTTCACCGGCCTTATTTCCCGCCTCACCATTCTAATTAAAACCGACGCCGTCTATCCTTGGAAGATACCCCTGTCCAGTTTTCCCTCTGTACAGAGATTCTCTGGGGTTTTTTCCCCCCACGTTTGGGCAAGGAGGACCTCAAGCATCTCAACTGGGTTCATGGAGCTTCCTTCGGAGGTGTCCCCTCCGTCACCCACCCTTGTTGAGAAGCCACCAAACAAATTTTTTTTAAAAAAAAAGAAAGAAAAAAGGAAAGAGGGGAAATAAACTTAATTCCAATAAGTTGAGCAAGTGAGAATCGACAATATTTTTTTCCCCTTCCTGTGGGAAAATCAAGGGTGGTGGTGGTGGAGAAAAAGGAGGGTGCTGTCTATGGATCGGTTCCTCCTTGACCAAAGCACCGATGACAATTCAGGCAGCCCTCAACTTACAACCACAACGGACCTCAACCTTTCTGCCGCTAAGTGAGACATCTGTCGGTAGGCGTTCTGCCCCGCTTTACGACTCTTCTTGCCCCGGTTGTTAAGGGAATCGCTGCGGTTAACACGGTTGTTAAATTTAATCTGGGCTCCCCCCGTCAATTTTGGGGATCAGAAGGTCCCCCCAAAAAGGGAGGGGGGAATCACACACACACACACATGCACACACACATGCACATACACACACCCCGGGACATTTACAACCGGTAAATGAACCGGTTGCCAAGCCTCCGAATGTAAATCACGTGATCCTGGGGAGGCTGCAACGGTCATTAAGCGTGAAAAACTGTCCTTTCCCCCCCCCCCTGTGCCATTGTAACTTTGAACAATCTATATCTTGTTGGGGGATCCCCTATGCCTGGGGGCAGAGAGCAAAAAAACCCCCAAACTTCCAGGAAAGCATACTTTTTTATATTAAGGATTTTGAGAACTGGGCACTTTACCATTCCTCTTTGGGGCTTATTTTGCTGGGATTCTTGGAAATACCTTACGAGGACAAATAGGGCATTCATGATCATGTCTTGCTCCTTTTAAATATGGGTTTCAAGTAAAAAAGAGACGTGTTCTCCCCCCTTACCCACCACCCCATACCTTAAAACCCCTCATCACTCTCCCATTACAATGATTATCCTTGACTTAGGGGTCCTGGGGAGCAGAGCACTTCCAGAGATCTCCTGCTCCCCTCCAACTGCTCCCTCCTCTTTGACAGCCCCCCCCATGCCCCCCCACAACCCACAGCTTGATCTCCAGCTTCTCATTTGCATTTACATGATCTTGCTGTGCGGCTTAAGAGATGGATTTATTTGCTACTTAGCGTGATGTTTGATTACCTTGGAGGGGGAAGGCGCTCGGTGACAATACACCGGGGAGGGAGGGGGGGTTACGGATGGGCTGCGTTGGGTTGAGTGGCCTTAGGGGGGGGGGAGAGAAGAACGCCACCCATCCACTGCGATAGATCAAGTTTTGGGGTGTTTGCAGAAGGGACGACAGTTTTTTTGGGGGGGGGAGTTTACAGAGAAAGCCAGTCCTCTGAGTGCCTTATTGCAAGGAAGGGATGGCACATTGAGAGAGATCTTAAAAGGAACTCTGTCAAGGTAGAAGAAAGATGCGGAGACTCTGGAAAGGGTGCAGAGAAGAGCAATGAAAATGATCCGGGGACTGGAGGCCAAAACATACGAAGAAGAGCGGTTGCAGGAACTGGGCATGTCAAGTCTAGGGAAGCGAAGGGCCAGGGCTGACGTGATAGCAATTTGACTTCCAAAATGCCAAACGCTGAACGATTTGCTATCCTGAAATTGTTCAAAAGTTGCATTTACTTAAACAGGTCGACTTTGAAGGAGGTGATGGTCTAGTCTACTGCTTGAGGCGCCAGGCTAGAGAGTGGGAGAGCGTGAGTTCAAATCCCAGCTTAGGCAGGAAAGCCGGCTAGGTGACTTTGGATCAATCACCAGGAGACTGTGAGTTCTAGTCCTGCCTTAGCCATGAAAGCCATCTGGGGACTTTGGGGGAGAGGAGAGGAGAGGAGAGGAGAGGAGAGGAAGATAGATAGATAGATAGATAGATAGATAGATAGATAGATAGATAGATAGATAGATAGATAGATAGATAGATAGATAGATAGATAGATAGATAGGCAGGCAGGCAGGCAGGCAGACAGACAGACAGACAGACAGAAATGGATGAAAGAAAGAAAGAAAGAAAGAAAGAAAGAAAGAAAGAAAGAAAGAAAGAAAAGAATTCCAAGTGGCTTTGAAAAAAAAAAACCCCAGAGAAAACTGCTTGCATTTATCCTCAACTTTATCAACTCCTAGAAGTCAAGATAACCAGAGTTTGCCTGATGTCTACTGGTGCTCAGCCATACTGAGCCAACCTCTCAAAGCCTGAAGTGGCGCTTTGGAAAAAGGGATGGTGGGAATCCAGGCTGGGATTATTGAAGGGGGTGGGAGAGAGAGAGGGAAAAAAAAAAAAAAGAACAGCAGGGTTTTCTAATGAATGACAAGCTACTGAGTGGAAATTTAATTTGGTCTAATTAAGCAGCCTTGGTGAGGATTTGTCTGCCTGATGAGAAGAAGGCCAAAGAGATCTAAATGCAAATGAGCAGGGAGGATTTTGGAGCAAGCACTTTTTTTTTAAAGTGCTTAAGTGTGTGTGTGTGTGTGTGTAGGAAAGAGGGAGAAAAACAACCATGGGTCAATTGTCTAACAGGCTTGTTGGGAAATATCCTCTTTCACATTCTTCCCTTTGAGCCTAGCAGAAAAAAACAGTTGGGTTGTTCCTAGTTGGGGGCTGAAACTTCGAAGTTTCCCAGATCATGTTATTCCCTGGAAAATGGCCCAGATTGATGCCTTCCCCTTGTCAACAAGGATTGATTGACAGTCATTTGGGGAGGTGCCTCATTGACAGCAGTTCCTTGGACTGACAGAAGAGAGTATTCGTAGCTCAGGGTTGAACTGTGAGGTCCTGGGTGCTCTCTACGTT